TCTCTCCCAGCAACAGCAAATGTGCTGCAAATAAATAATATTTCTACATTTGTTGATCCCTTGAAGAGCTCTTAGTAACCTAAGCAAATATGGCAATAAAAATTCAAGAGTGTTTTATATCCTGATTGATGTGAAACATTCATGAAATGTTCAATTAAATGTTCATTTTTATTTGGTTAGTCAAAGTAACCCACCCTTAATATTTTAATTGTGCAGTCATTAAAGATATTGGATATTTAATCCTGGTTGAAAAAAATCCTTCTAGTTTCACACGTCTGCTTTTAAAGATACAAAGTGTAGCATCAACATGTTCTTGTGGGAAGGGTGTTCACACATAGCTTTGCTTGGCTTGGCATCTTCATTTCTTTTTCCTCATTAAAGGAAGAAGCACAGCACTCATCACAGACCCAGCCCAAAGTGTTACTTTAGGAAATGGATAGCAGGGAGCAGGTTTTTAAAGCTGTTATTTATTTTCTGATTGGTTGCATGTGGGAAGCAGAGATATGCTTACTACAACCAAGTACATCTTAATCAGGAAATAAAGTTACATGGGAAAAAGTCTATTACATGCTTGATATGATATAAGACCATAGCCTCATTTGGGAGAGAAGTTTGAATCTAATATTTGCCTGTATGAGTCTATATTTTTATGACCCACATGAAAGGCATTCAACTTCACGCTGCATTACCAAATACTGACAATTGGCAAGATAAATCAGTTGTTTTAAAAAAAATCCTTTCAGAAATGACAATGATGTAATGAATATTCAACTCTGCTTTTATTGAAGTTGTAAGAGAACCACAGAGGTAATCATACTCAAAGCTACTGTAAAGACTTCCTTGTAGTTAGGTCAGTCCCTGACCTTTACCTGACAAGCAACCAACCTCCACATCTAAATTTTTCTTTTGCTTTTTCCTTTGTTCTTTTTTTTTCTCTTTTATAAATAATCTGTAGTATCATTTTTGTTGATAGTTCTTTAGTAAAAGCCCAAGTGCTTTCTTGGTACAGGAAAAGAAAATAAACTTATTTGATGAAGGAGTAATGGCCTGATCCAAAAACCTTTGAACTGCTTCTACCAGCCTTACATCAGTATTGAGTGCAAACAAGGTAAAGGTAAATGCTGATGTTTGGGCTCACTGATGGGCTTTTCCTTTTCCCTCTTTTTTCTTTTTCTTTTTTTTTTTTTAAATGATGCATTTAGGAAAGAGATCAAATTTGAGTGAGGACTGCAAGGCTGTAGGGACTACTCACTCAAAAGCCTTCTGTCAGTTACCAGCTCTGCTGCCCCCACGACCTGCTCCCCACATACTGGAGCAGGTCCCAAGGAGATGACAGTGCTTGCAGTATTAAATGTTTTATGGGGATGAGTTGTTGAGCATGTTGTCAGTCAGTGTGTATGCTGTCAGAAAACCTTATTGTCAATAGGGAAGCATTTTGTTAGATGGCTTGGAGGGTTATTTCTTATAATCATACAGCTCCTTTTCTTATGTCTCAACATAGATAGCCAGAATAAGTAGTTTCTTAATATCACCTAGTACTTTATTATTTCTTACAAGTTCTTGGTATGGATAGGGCTTACGTTTTGCTTTGTGGAAAAATGGAGAAGAGCCTGCTGGTCAGACATCTGCAAAATGCATTTGTAGGGCCTCATATGCTTTTGAGAGTCTGACACAAAGTCTGATGAGGCTAACAGAAAGTCTCCATTAGGTTTTTGAAATAGGGCTTTGTGTGGGTCCCACGACTTCTGAATCAGACCATTAGGAATCTAATAAGAATTTTCCTGGCCATCTTCATAGAATCAGATACTTTATTATCAAGGACCTTACCCTCTTCCTATATTTGATGTAACAATTTTGTGCCAAGAACCATTGCATTTCATTTCTTTTTACAAGATATTAACATTAATTGCTTCAGATATATTAAATATTAAATAAAAATATTAAAATATTTTACACTGATTAATAAAATCACATTTATACATAATGATCTACCTATAATGTATCTCTGTGAATATGTGTACTGAATGTATGTGAAGGTCAGGGATGTGATGTGACTTGTGTTGAGCCTAATAACCAGCCCATCATTTCCAAACAACCATGGAAAGTTTTTGCATAATGCAGGGATACAAACCGTGAAGTTAGCACTGCAATATTATAAGGACTGTAGATTTGGTGTGAGTTGCCATGGTAGGTAAATAATCAAAGCTCTATATCTTATCCAAGATCATTACAAATTCATCAATGTCACAGGTCACCGATTATTAAAATAAAAAAATTGTTTTTGTTGCCCATATCTTGCCTGTTTCGGGGATCTAGGTAGAAATTAATTTAATAGCAAGCCCGTTAGTTTCAATATATTCTTCTGAAGCTAGACACACAGATTCTCAGGAAATTCAGTAAGCTTTAGATATCTATTTTGTGCACTTTGAGAAATCTTATGTGAACATTTAGGGCCTCCAAACTGCAGGCAAGTGGCCTGCCTGTGGCCACCTCCTCTCTTTTTGTTATAGTGGATTTTAGCATTTATTTTTACTTGATAATTTCTAATTTGAAAGGAAAAATTTGGTTGAATGCACATATGATTACAACTGACAAATGTAGGCCTGTTGTTCCATTACTATGCTTTCTGCATCTGTAATGTACATGCTCAGTTTTTGATTTTTAAAATGAACAAAACATATTAAAGGTGCAAATAGAGTACTGCATAAACATTTCGAAAAATATAATGTGTGAGTAGTACAGAAGAGTGGGATAAAAAGCTTATGACATACAAAATTAATGAATTTCTCTGGAAAAGAAAAAAGGAAAGGTGATTGCACTACAAGTAGTTTAGAATATTTAAGTTGATGAAAGGTCAGAAAAAATGTGTCTTTAAGCTAATAATTAGGTATTCAGTATCATTTTAAAATTTAATTTTACTTTTGAAAAGTACAGTATCTTTATAGATTTGGAAAGTATTTAGTGTATTACAGCATCTACAATAGTGTAATTAACAAATTCATAAGGATAGTATTGATGTTAACATGTATCCTAAGTCTACTATCTTCCTGAGGCTGCCGAGGGGACAGAGGGCCCATTAGCTGTAATTACTGTTTCATGTTGGAGAGATTTTTCCCACCTGAAGTCGGTCATTTTCTTTTGCATGCTAGAAACAGTTCAAAGTATATTTTATATATATTTCTGCTTACACATTTTTGCAATACTTAATGATCTTCAACCCAGCAGAACTAGCATCAAAATCACAGCACCCCTAGGGATAACAGAGTATCTACAAATACCAAATGTGCCTCCTCTAATTCATTAACAATGAAATACCAACTACTCTGTTGCAGTTCATAGAATCATTTGTTCTTTTGGCTACAGCTTAGGAAAGGAGGGAGAGATAACTACAAAGACATTTGGAATACTCCTTGGCATGTTTGCACACACATGAAAAAGAGTTTAAGAGATTTTAGTATTTTATTAGTCCATTGTAGGTGGATTTCAGTTAATATATTTCATACTCAATCCTATATAAACCATTTACAAATCAATAATTTGAAATTGCTGCCTGATTCAGAGGTTCATATTCCTTGTTTTGTAGATCATCTGAGAAATCTCAGTCTCTTGACAGAGTGAATGATTTTTAAAAGCTTTCCTATGGCACAATAAAAGCTATATCAGTAGTTAAACTTGTGAAATCTATATATTCCTTTGTGTACCTATACACAGTTCAGCCATGAGCAGTCCAGGCATATTCCTTTGCGCAACCCATTTAAGCAGTCCCTTGGATGCCGTCACAGTTGATCACATGTTAAATTCTTTTTTGTGTTTTTCTTCTGAAGAAATATGAGATATAATGGATGGGAATAAGTGGATGTATCAAATACAAGCAGCTTTGTATCTATGTACCCATTCACAGCTATCACTGATTAGTTAGGTTAACTGCAGCTTATGTTATAGTAGTGGGATCCAGAAAAGATCCCATCCCATTGTTTAAGGCTCGAGCCAATACCCTCCTCTATAACAGCTACATCTTGACAGACTATATAATTAAACTGGCAAACTACAGAAAAGTGAAAATTCATTGGAGAATGCTAGTGAGGT